GATCATATGGAAATCTTGAATAAATTTTTCCATAATTAAGCAAGTTAGTTCGAGCTTGTTGTAAACTTGCGTCAAACCACTTTTTGTTTTTTTGTTTGTTTGTGTGTTTTTTTAAAGGTCGTTTAAGTGATAGATTTGCTGCTGATAAAAAGATGTTTGAAGTTTTGATGATGCTTCATCTACTGATGTCTGAGTAAATTGAATTGTGCTGTTGTTGAATTCTAGTATGTAGTTTTGTAGTGTATCTGAAGAAAGTGTTTCTTGAAATTTTATTGCTGAACAGTCAGTCCAGATATAATTAGGTGTCATATTTTTCAACTGGATTGGAATATCATTTTCTCCAGGAACACAATATTTTGCAGATAATTCCCACTCAAGTTTACAATGACAATCAGATAATGTGGGAATAAATCTGGATACTTTAAAATACAGTACATTTTCAAGAATTTCTTCCGACACAGCAACATAATCAACCACACTTGCACCATTGGGGGTATAGCAAGTAAAATTACCAAATGTATCACCAAGAACTCTGCCATTTAAAATTCTTATTTGTTTACTAATGCAAAAATCCAAAACTTCTTTGCCTCTTTGATCAATTTTTTGGTCTCGACTTTTTCTTGTCATAATGTTTTTGTCAGTAGGGTATGTATCAAAAATTGGAGTAAATTTTGAATCATCGTTTACTATAAAGTCATTTTCAGAGCCTATTCTGGCATTAAAATCTCCACATAACAAAATTTCATCCATTTTTTTATACTGAAAGATATCTATTTCTATGCATTCAAAAACATCAGAAGAGAGTTCTTGGGTATATTTAGACGTAACAGGGGGGGGGGGGGGGGGGGGGTTGTACAGTACACAAATAAATAGGTCACTTTTAAATCCAAAAAAGGATTTTTCTAATTTAATCCATTGATAATCTGGATTACTGTTAATCAATATTTTGACATGAGGTTTAACGTGACTTTTCTGTAGAATTGCTATACCCCCAAAATGACGGTTATTATTTGATAATTTTCTACATATTGGATGATAATGAAATTTACCAATATTGTGTATTTGGGAATTATACCCCACATGAGTTTCGACTAAAAAAACAATGTCGTAATTCTCTATATGTTTCAGAAAAAGGGGATCCTCTGCTTTATTCATGCCCTTTGAAAATAAGCCACCTATATTCCAATAACCAAATTTTACAGATGATTGGTTTGATTTTGGCATTTTAGTTGATACAATTAAATCTGGTATAAATAATAGAATAGATTTTCTATCTATAAAAAAAAATAATAAAAATTTGTCTCTAAATAAAAGGAAGAGACAACAAGGAAAATATTCAGAAATGTAAATATTTGAAATAAGTAGATTTATTTAGAGGATAGTTTTTACCATGGTTTTCTAAATACAAATAGTCTATGATATAATGACAGATAATTTCTTTTCTATGTATCCTCTTTTAACTGAATAACTATTAAACTGATTTGGGTTGAATAACCTGATATCCTGGGTTAATTCAAGATCAAAAGTATGATTCAAATGTGAAAACTAAAAATAAAAATGAATAAAATAAAATAAAAAAGGCGAACTTTAATTTTATACCTAGCAGAGGTTACATATATATGACCATGTAATAGTGTGACTTCTTCACATAATGGCTGTTTCATTTGAAAAATCTATTCAAATGTGAATATGAATTTATCAGCCCAAAAAAAAGAAGAAATATATAAAGTTGTACATGTATATATAAATTATATGTAAATGACTTTAAACATGTTAAAGGAAGTCAACATAATGATATGGTAATATGTATAATATTAAAAAGCAAGTTAATCATGATGACCTCTGCCACGTCCACGTCCACGTCCTCTTGTGTTGCGCGATTTGGATCTACCTCTTGAATTTGGCATGGGAATGTTTAAGGCAGTGTGTATTCCACGCTTTAAGTTTGCCGATAGCTGAGACACGCCAGAGTCAGAGAGATGAAATTTATCTTCACTTAGTAGCTCTGCAATTGGGTTTCCATTTCGCAACATATTGCCATGATCAACAAGTAGAACATCTTTATTGTCATCATATATTTGTTTCAACAAGGCATTTATGATTTGTCCATTTGTGTTGAAAATTACACTGTCGAGTCGAGGAGTAGTAAGAGAGATGATGCAACCACTATTTTGCCATTTTTGAAGTGCAAGCTTGACAATATCTTGTATTTCTTCTACACATTGCTGTGGTGATTTTATTTTCAAATCATTCGTCAGGGAATGAAACACTACTAGATTTGGAATTATATCCGATATCTCCAAAATAGCTTGTTTAGTTTCTTCTAAATTGAAAGCAGTAACCTTATTGGTTGTAAATGATGGCGATAGCTTCTCTGCATTGATACGTTTGGTATTGGATGTACCAATTAAAATAATTGTTGGTTTGTTATCAATGTCAAGTTTAGATTTGTCAGTATATTTCGTGTCTGCATTAACAAGATGAAAATCTTCAAATCGAGAAATCATTTGGGAGCGGAGAGAGATATTTTCTTCTTGTAATTTCTCCAAGTGTTGAGTATGTCGTTTTAGAGTATCAGTTAGTTTGTCAATTTCTTCATTTTTGGTTTGTAGGCTTACCGATAGAAAGTCGATCTCAGAGTTTGAAGTAGTTAATACCTTTTTCATTTCTGCTCTAGTCTCCTCCAGTATTTGATTGTGACATTTCATTTGATCTTCATGTTGAGCTTTAATTAACATAATATTGCTTTGCTCGTGTTTTAATTTAACTTCCAAAGTCTGTTTTTCTGTTTGTACGGTTTTATATTTTAATTGTAATGTTGATATCTCATTGTCGTCTTTTCTACCTTTTCCCAAGACTAGAACATCATCATTGCATTGTTTAACAGCAGTTAATACTTTGCTGAAGTTTTCATTGTGACTGTGTTCTATTTTAGCCAGCGTGTCAACTAAATTTAATTCAAGCCTTTGAAAATCATCTTTTTGAGGTTGATCTTCTTGTACTAGTACTGATTTTAACCCAGTCTGGGAGTCAGGTAATACACAAGTGACCTTGTCAACAGGGCATAATTCATTAATGTGTGTATTGTTATTGTCATCATGACATTCGTGTGAAATACATGTATTAGTAGGACTGGTTTGTGATATGTTTGTAAGAACTTTATCAAGAATATCTTTCAGAATTGGAAAATGAATATCCACAAACTCATAATAATGACTGCCTTGTACTCTTATTGTTCCTGTTGTGACAAAAAATGTAATATTAAATTGAAGTTCCCCCTTTTTTAATACTTCAATCATCACAGAATTTCCACTGTTGTTTCGGTTTTCCCATGTTTTGGGTTCGTCATACCATTCAATATCATAATCAGGTTCCTTTCCAAGATTGTCATAATAGTAAATATCTAGTGTTTTTATCCATGGTTGGATTCTGTCAAGGTTTGTGTAGAATGTGATGATTTTAGCATGTTCATCATACAAGTTTGGGTCAATTTGCTCGAAAAGGCTTAATTTTGCTTTACCAGTCCTCTTGTTTTGCTTTGATGGGAGAGATGAAAGAGGATAGTCATTAATGGTTTTGTCCATCGATAGGTCAATTTTCAATTTGCCTAAATCTACCATGATGACCGGCTTGTAGTCAACACGTGTTTATATAGTTATATGTGCACACACGTAAATCAGCGTAAATAAATGTTTGTAAATATAATTGATCGATCAGATAAAACATGGAACTTTATTCATTTTACGTCCATAGATAAAACATCATAAGCGTTGCATGGGTAACTATTTAGATATTTTATGACAACCCGTTTCGGTTGACTGCTTAGATAATCCGTTTATTGAAATGTAAATAACTTTCACCAAGCAACTGTCATCTATATAATATTTAAAAATTTAAAGTAAATTAGATACTTAGAATATATTTTTCTTGACAAATTTTATATGGATCAGAACTATTATTTTACATTAGAAACAAAAAATGTTTAAGAAAATTTCAGAACGTCTTTGGGATATATTACTTATCATTATATCTTTACGGGCGGAATGAATAAATACAGGACTACTTTATGTCAGAAAGCACGACTGCAAAGTTTTAATGACTAACACATTTCCCGGTTAAGACAATTAATCTTTTCTTATATAACCAATTAAATGTTAAAAATTCTATCGGGAAAAAATGAATTGTACGTTTGCATACGTTATTTAATGAAATAGATATACAGTCTTACATTAAAAGACCACAAAAGAATATCCTCCTAGCTATGCCGATTTTATTCATAAAGGGGAGTAACCCCTGATAAACACAGATAAAGTGTCGCTCGTTTTATTTAAAATATTTAAAATCTTAACACGACTGAACACGATCTTACAGCAAATAAACAGATTTTTTACCTTTGGTCTTATTTTATCTGAACGTGATCTAATCAAGTCTTATTTGAACGCTAGAAGAATCTGTCTTGTTTATCTTGACCCGACTGATCTGACTGAACACGATATATCGGAACAGAGTCTGAAAGTCTAAACCGGTCTTAACGTTTTTCCCTAGCAGTAAATCAAGGCGATTAAGACTTGATCAGACCAAAATGACCGTTTCAGACTTAAATCTTGCTACTAGTGTATCTGAGTTGAATATTTAGTTTGTCCAACTCTATGTTCTATGTTTCCTAGGCTTAATAGTGGTTGAAATCCAGAAGATTTTGTTAACTTTCACAAAAAACTCTAACATGTATCTTTAACCTAAAAGAGTTGTAACTGGCAAAACTATGCTAGATTTTCTCTACTTTCTCACATATGCATCAAACTTGAAACATTTTTCATCTTGAAATAATGGACTAATTATTTGGGGCAAACTTTTCATTTTGAAAAACAGTTACATGATACACTTTTTGTTTTAACATGACCTTGTTATCAGGTTTTTTTTAAACATGGCCTTGTACAAATAACAATGCTTATTGGTAAACTTAATGTTTAATAATGATCCATTACATTTCTTTGTTCCAGACAACAAAATTATTGTTTGTGGTGGCATGGGTTTAGATACTAATCCAAAAGACACCCTCTGTGCATATGATGTAGAAACTAATACATGGAAGGCTATGAAAGGAATGCCCACACCTAGATATGCTACATATGCATTTCTTGTCAATGAAAAGTTGTATGTATGTGGTAAGTTAATCATTGATGTTATCTACTAGAGGTGTTATGATAAGCTATACATTTTGTGTTACATAATGCTATATTTAAATGACCGTAACATGGTCAACGGGGACGTACCTATAAACTTTTCCCCAAATCGACATAGAAGAAACCTGTTTTCTCGTTGTTTATAAGAGGTGTCAAAGTCTACAGTGTTAAACCTAACTTTTGGTAACCCTTTTAATGTTAAAAGAATATTTCCCAAAAGAGTTACTGTTAAAAATTACTTCAGTAAAACTGAATTTCTGATGGTAACTGGTTTTCAACCAGTAGAGGCAATTACAAAGCAAATTTTTATTGTCTAAGTTTTATATTTTGGGGATTTTTTTTTAGATTTGCAACAAATCCTTCAGGGATTAAAAGATTCCAGTATTTTGGAATAGTGAAACTGTTTACGTATGAATTGAAGGACGTGTATGTTGTACATTGACTACAAACATAGACTTTATCGCTATTTGGGAATGTGCAACACTTGGACTATTGATATGACTTTTCTCTTTTAGCATTAGACATTACCTCTTTGACATCAACATTTTTACTGGAACCCCTATGATGTCTAGCTGTTGCATAAAAATAGTGATAAGGTCTTTTTAATGAGTAGGTTTCAAACTTGAGCTGTCTCTAGCTAGTAATAGTTAATTATTTACATTGAAATCAAGAGATGTGAAGAGGATATACATAAGACAAATCCTATGAAATACGTCTTAGGAACAATGCTTTAATTGCTGTTCTTCATCTTTTCCTTATTTGAAGGTCTGTAAAGATCAACTGAAATGAAAATACCTAACAGAAAGAGCAAGATGTAAACAGTATTCTATTTTATATTTGTTTGTACAAATTTATCATTAATTTCCTAGCATGTTTTGTTTCAGGGGGAAGACAGGGAAAGTTACCTAACACAGCTTTAGAATGTTATGATTTTACTGAAGATAAATGGGAGAAGTTACCAGATATCCCCAGTAAGAGGGTGTTTGCTATGTATACTGCTACAGATAAACATATATTCAGTATGGGAGGATTAAAACAACCAGCCACAGAAGGATTCTCAGATGCATGTGAAGTTTTTGACACAGAGAAAAGTAAGCTTCTTTTATACAGTTAATAAATCAGTTGTTTATTTACTGTCTTACTCTATCATGAGTGATTTTCCTTATTAAGGTACATGTAGCCTTGGGAGATTATTTGTATTATATTGTTAGTTCTGGTTCATAATGTATCAGTGACTGGTCAGCAAGTAAAAGTATTCATCATATTATTTATTTGATAACATTCCAAATAATAATATCAATATAAAGCACTACAAATTAAAGATAACCAATAACATATTAATACTGTAATAACAATAACAAATTTAACTGTCTCTGGAAAGACTACAGAAATCTTCTGTCAGTGACTGTACTGTGGTGTCGTTGTCAAGTTGTCTTGTCCTTGGTGACATCTCTATGGTGCTGTTGGTAGATCTTGATGGAGATGTGCTGGCAGACTTCATGATCAGGGAAGAGAACTCTTGGATCTGGTTCCATTTCTTCTCTCTGTACTGGTTATACATCTTACGAATTCCAAGTGTGGTGGACTTATGAGTCTGGAGACGAAGTCTGTAAGAATGGCAACCATTGATGTCTGCTGCAAACAAGTGGCGATCAAGTTCTTGTATCTTGCATTCTGTAATAAGATAAAATAAAAATTATAGTAACATACAAGAATAACAGTTAGCAGTTAAAAAAATAAGGATTCAAATTGGTTTACATAATAAAAAGGTACACTTTTATAATAGAAATTAAGGACACTATTCACAATTATTATATTAGATATATTTGTAACCCTCTTTTTTTTAAAATAAACTTTCAAGAATATTACTGTATGATAACTGTACAAATGATGCCATGATAAATAGAAAATAGATAATTACCTAATAAATTCAGTTGGGTAACTGCTTGGTCATGTGACACCAATAGTCTTTAGTTGCTGAGCGTAATTTACAATGCTAGTGTACTCCATCATGTAAGTTACTTTTTATGGTTTGAATGAGGAATTCTAAGGTTAAGAATGATGTGAATTTCCTCCATAGTGGATCTGTATATATAATGTACAATTTACTCAAAATTATTTGGGCTTTGTGTGTAATGTAAAATGTGCTCACCTTTATACCAAAGTTCAAAGGTGTTTAAAAGTTTATTGTCTTTTAATCAATTAATAATTGGAGATCAAAAGTGTAAATCAAATAAAAAACATTTAGGATTGTTTGTTATCTTTCAATTATTTAATAATTGAAGATCAAAAGATTTTATTATTACTAGTCAACTAATTACAATGTGTCATCAATCCAATGTTATTATTTATATGCTTTACTTTTAGAAAATAACTAATTAATGATTGTACCAGTAGCTAGTAGTAAATAACTTTATTATTAATTATACATTGTGTAATTCAAAGTATCTTATTTAAAGCAATCACTTAAAAATTAGAGAATTAATTTGTTGTCAAACTTGCAAGATAACTAAACAAAAAGATTATTTAGTTAAAAAAACAAAGAAAAACTCATTTTTATTCTAAAATTTACTCCTTTTGAAGTAGGGTCTGAACTTTTGATTCTTAAATTTTAATTATGAATGTTTAAACTAATACAAAATGATTTTTAATCAATATCAGTCACGGTTGCAAAAGCTTTATCAAACCCCTAAACTCTATGACGTCATGTCATCGATATCAGTCACAGTTGTAAAGGCTTTATCAAACCCCAAATTTGAATTACATCATCCCACGTGAAAAAAAAACATCATCTTGAAGTATATAATAAAGTGTATATGATATAGCTTTTTCAATATCACACCCTGTATCAACCCTCAACCAATATAATCCCTCGAGCAGAGCTCTTGGGATTATATTGGTGTCTCCAGTTGATATGGGTGTGATATTGAAAAAGCCATATAATATTCTCTATTTATACATTGGACTTTATTCTTTATAGTAAAAGCTTAGCTATTTGTATGAAATATCTGAATGAATGTCAGTCATTATATTAGAGACAAAAAATATTACTTGCTAATATTTATTAACAGTTATTTTGATTAGCCCAGTTGCCACATGCTAATTTAGATTAATGATGGCTACCCTGCAGAGTATTATGCCAAATCATCATATATGAAAATGGTTATAGTTAATTTTTATGCTTACTAAAATAGTAGAAGTACCTATTATAATCAAAATGCTTGTTGCCACATAGTCTACCCCAGCTTATAAATATGATGAATGCAATTCAGACATTGATATGTCCTGATATCATCATTTCAGTTTCTGGACATTCTCATTTGCACTATAAATAATATTTTAACAAAATTTGGTTTGATAATGTCCTATGGGGTAAATAACACCCCTTTTGATATTGAGGTCCCTAATGAATTTGAGGTCACTGGGTCAAAGGCCAAAGTCACAGCAGCAACTGATTTGTACAGTTTGTTCTTTTGCTGTTCTGTAACAAAGCTGTCCCGGGTAAGGGAAGGTTTGAGCACTCACAAAAAAGTTGAACCATGCTACATTCATTATGTGCCGGCCTGTCCCAAGTCTGGAGATTGTACTTCAGTAGTTGTTGGTGGTTCATGTGTGTCATATTTGTTTTTCGTAGATTAAATTGTTATAAATTAGGCCATTAGTCTTTTTATTTGAATTGTTTCACTTTTTGCATGTCAAGACTTAATAGCTGACTATAAAGTATGTGTTTTTCTCATTGTTTAAGGCCGTATGGTGACTAATTATTGCTTACATTCACATCATTTGAACTCTGGTAGATAGTTGTCTCATTGGCAATCATACCACATCTCACTGTTTTTATATAGACCAACTTTTGGGAAAATATATTTTCAGATAGTTTTTAATTATACACAGGCAGAAACCCAGTTGAAATTAAACAAAAGAAATGGAACTTTTTGTTAGAGAAGGTAAAAAAACCAAGTTGGTAAATTTGAATTGTTTGCATCTGTTTCTATCAGCTTTAAAAGTTTATTGAATGTGCCTCATTTAGGGTTTTATGCATCTTATGCATGTGTTTTTTCTTAAATTATGGATCTTAAAAATGCAGAACTTAAAAAAAAATCATTTTATTTAGGGTAATTAGTCTTCAACTTCTGAAAATATTTAGTCTGCCCTTCCACGAAATATTTAATTAGAATATTTTTAAATATTTTTGAACTTTCGAAAATTCCCCCTTGACAACCAATCAGACAATAGTTTTAAGTTGACCAAATGCATAAAAGTGTATTAAATGATGCATAATAGCTAGTAGATACATTTGTTTTTAAAAATACAACTGGCATATAAGGATCGTAAAGATGCTATGTGGATAAATTTATCGGTTTTCAAGAGCTAAATTGACAGCGCGTCATCACTACAATTGCTTCCATTTTTACGATTATAAAAATTAGGTGGCGTAATGGGGGCGATAATTTTGACAAAGTAGAATCCTGACTGTACATCCAAATATCACCAGTGGAAAGAGGCATATTTTTATGAAAATTATCTCCCTAAGATGAATTCATATTTATTTTAATGTTAAAAATTTTAGATATGCAAATTATTTTTATTATTTAGATTTCAGTGTAATGTTTAAGAAATAGTGGGTAAAGTATTTTGTGACAGTTTTTATACATTTTGCAAACATGTCAAGATTAGACTTTTGTTTAACATCTGAGATTAAGGATTAAGATATTTTTTTATGTAATTGTTATCATTCAAGTTTTGATCTTTAACAACAAGCTTGAAATTAATTGATAGATAAACTGAATTAGTGCCTTTAAGATAAAGCTGTCATTTCCTTTATGGATTAAGTAAAAATGTTTTCATTGTGTAATGATGTTTTGGTAGAAAATAAAACAATTGAAGGTCTTTCCACCCCAAATGCCAGTTTAAAATGTGATTTCTGGTGTCTGAAGATAGCTTAATTAAAGCTGATTTAAAATTAATATGGTTTCTATACACTTTTGCTAAAAATAAGGGAGATAATTTGCTACTTCCCGTTTGAATAATGTCACTTTGGGTATTATATGATAGCTCACTTGACACTGATTCCAAAAATATATAGTTTTAAATACTTTTATATTCAATCAATGCAAAAAATGGCTAATTCCGATTTACTTAAGGTCACTTCCACTTGACTATTTCAAGGTAATGTGTATTCCTACCAAATGTAAAAGCCCCTATGGCTTTATCATGTATCAATATGAAGTTTTAGCAAAGGTCAAAATCTAGAACATCAAATTTAGCTTTGACCTCAATTTCAAGGTCATCTAGCAAGGACCTCATATCAAAAAACCTTAGGTCTCTACAATGAATTGTTAATAAGTTATATTACCATACATCTTATTTTCAACATTCCATGGGAGAAAAGTTTCCGTTTACGACAGATCGCAATGGACAATTTAGTGAAAATCTTTTGTCAATATATATTACAGTTTCTTAGGAGAAGCATGCACAAGCAAAAGCAAAAAATTAAAACATGACCATGACTTTGACCTTGACCTCATTTTCTTTTTGGTGGACCCAGGACCTCATATCAAAAGACCATAGGGCTCTATCACTTATGGTTTATGAGTTACTATTACATTTGACTTATGTCATATACATAAAGGGTATAACTCTGATATGGAATCTTCAGATCCCTTTGATCAAAATTATTCTTGACAAGCAGAGGATATAACAAGCAATTTGGTAAAATAATTTTGTCATAATCATTCACGGTTGCAAAAAGAAGTAGTGCGCACAAGTAAAACAGTGGTTACATACAAAGTAAAGTGTTCGGTTAAACAGGGTCAGTTTCAAAAGCGTATATCATATACCAAAAATCTAAGCAACATCTTTTGAAACAACAATACCATGTAAGAAAAAAATTAGGCGGTAGAAAAAAAATCAGAACAAAATCTATAGGTCTTTTCCAACGCAAAATTGGAGAGACCTAATTAATGTTTGGTAACCAAAGAGATTTTATATTGTCAATAGTTGAATTCAAAGTATTTTATTGTTCAAATATCAAAAATACATTTAAACAAAGGGATTGGATAAAAGGCAAAGCCTATACATATCCTTTCCA